ACTATTTGAATAGCATACAAAGAAAGTACATTCTACTTAAAATGTTGAGATTATTTTTTTTATTGAGGCCCAAATACATAATGTGCTTTTTTTCAGGAAGTACCTTCCTAAGCTGTCTTTAAACACATTCAGGACACTTTTCCCACTATATAGTACATCCTGATGCGTTTTCAGGACATTCTGAAACGAGACCTTTTTTGACAAAAACGACATGCTATAGTATGACTTTTTACGGTCTGAGCACACCAGTGCAAGGACCCTATTGTAACCGTTGTGATTGTTATTACTATTATTTATTATTATTATTCTCTTTTATCATTTATCATTATTTTATCGTCTTTCGAAATGCGTTTTTGAGGGCCTAAACATGCTCAAAAACTCACCAAAATCGCCACGCACATCAAGACTGGCGAAAAATTTGATATTTTAATGGACTTGGACATGTCACTGCCAAAATGGCTCCACAGCGCCACCTTGAAAATTTCAATGAAGTCCTATCGGAAGCACGTTTGACTTACAGCTACGCAATATGAAACACATATAGAGCTGGTCGGCACAAATAAAAATATTGCTCCGAGTCTCAGCCAGAGCGCGTTTCCACCCCGGCCAACACGCACGCCGCCATGGCTCGCCACTAAACAGGAAGTGGCTCGTAACTAGGCCACACTTGCTCCGATCTGCCCCAAACTCCACATGCCGGATCACAGTCCCGCCCGGAGCACGTTTGCGCCACAACCCGACGTGCACGAAGGCCGACAAGCGTAGGGCGAGGACCCGTCCATCGCCGCTTGCGGCTTTAATTCTAGTTTAATCTTATTACTTTTGCAATTTTATTTTACTTACTTTCTTTTTTTTGGTAGTAGTGTAAAGCTTTGTCTTTTTGATGTGATCATCAGTTGGTTCTAGTCTGAGATGAGCTGCGGCGTCACTTCTTGGAGCTGTTCTGGAGCTTTTCAGTAAATGACGAAGGAGTTTCCTCGTTGTTGAAGCTGAACTTTAAAGATTAACTTTAGGGCAACATTTAGAAAAAGTCATAAAGAGTACAGAAAAAAAAGGAAATGTGATGTAGATTTTCAAGACAACCATCTCCCCAAAAAGTCAAAAGCTCTGGAAATTCTACTTGATGTACTTTAAAGGTGAACATTTCATGTCAAACTGGAGCAGAAATCAGAGCTTCCAGTGAGCTGCATGTGTTAGAAGAACTGAAAGGAGACCACCTACTAAAAATACCTCGACATACCCCGTGGAGCTTTTGTGTAAACGTCGACATTCAGGNTGAGCTGCATGTGTTAGAAGAACTGAAAGGAAACCACCTACTAAAAATACCTCGACATACCCCGTGGAGCTTTTGTGTAAACGTCGACATTCAGGTTTTTGAATGCATTTCTTTCCCCATATGCACAACAAACATGTCGTGGGCTCAGGTGGTAGAGCGAGTCAGTCAATGATCGGAAGGTCGGCGGTTCGATCAATTAATTCCTCTGTCGTCGTGGTCGCTGTGTCCTTGGGCAAGACACCTCACCCACCCTGCCTGGCGTGAATGAATGGACTGTTTGAGGTGATGGTCGGAGGGGCAGAAGGACAGCTACGCCTCTGTCAGCTGTGGCTACAACCATAGCTACCACCATGTGTGTGAATGAATAACTGACAGTGTAAAGTGACTTCTCTCTATAACTTTCCTGTAGCACTGGCTATCAGTGTGACATCCCATCAATCAGTGATTAAAAACGCAGCTCCGTAGTGCTCCGAGTTGTCAAAAATTCCACAAGGTAGCATCTAAACATCCAGATAACTGAATCTTTAAAAGCTTTTAATGCAGAAATACGACTATAAGAAGGATCTGAGGGCCTACAATAAAGGAAATAAAGAAAAGAAAGGCACCAAGTATGAAAAAGATAGATTTATTTAATGACAAATTAAAACAGAAAATAGTCAAGGACTCGAGGGAGAGCAGCAACATTACTGAGACTCCACATGAAGAGAAAGTGAGAGATGATTGGCTAAACCTCCCTCCTCCTCCTCACAGACAAATAAAAAGGGGAGAAAAGAAAAAGACTTACCACACAAACAAGAGGACAGAGAGACAAATAGATGAAAACAACCCAACTCTGGAGAGAAGAAGAAGAAGAAGAAGAAGAATAAGGGAGAAAAAAAAAAAAAAGAAAGAAAAAGAAGAAGAACGACACAACTTGCTTTTTAACTACAAACACTGAAGTTTAGCCACAAGTTTACAACTGCCTTTTTAATTTTTGTTTTTAAAATTCAATACAAAAAATGATAATTATGATAATCTCCATTTAATAATAACAATAGCAACATTGTAACGGTACAAACTGTCCCTCATTCCTGGTTGGGTGATCAGTCAATCAGTGGTCGAGGCCGGCAGAAGACAGAGCGGAAAAACCAAAAGAAGAAGAAGAAGAAGAAGAAGAAGAGGAAAGGGAGAAAACGAGCAGGCTCTTGTGTTTTTGTTTTCTTTTTTTATGCCAGAATCTTTCTCTCTCACACACACAAATATCAGGAGTTCTTCTCTCTTGTCATACAAAAAAAAAAACTAATTAAAAAGAAACGACAGACTTAAGAAATAAACCCCGAAAAGAAAAACTTCAACTGAAATGCAGTGTTTCCTTTTTTTTTTTTCTTTTTTTTTTCTCCTTGTTCTGAAAAACATAAAGGACCCCTCCGTTCCTCCGTCGATTCTGTTAAACCTGCACACACAGCCTGCAATGCAAAGAACAGGCGTGTGTTTGTGTGTGTCCGCTGTGTGAAAATAATAATACAAAAAAAAAACAAACAAAAAAAACTAAGTCCAGGGCTGATGTAGCTGAGGGCCTCCTTCAATCCATACAGTATGACAGCAGAGTCTAATAACTATCAACGACGACAGTCAACTAGTTAAAGATGCACAATCTTTAGCCTCGGGGTGGACCGGAAAGAAACCGAATGAGCTTTTGTGGATTTTTTTTTTTTCTCCATCCTAGACACATGTGGATGGTTCGGGGTGCTACAGCCATCCATGTCTATGGATGACGGTTCCGGTCTCAGCCGTCGATAGCCATGTGGGTCACAGGTGGCGATAACGATAAAAGGTTTTAATGGGTTCCAGTTTGAGCTGGTCAATAGCAGCCACGGTCGAAGCCCTGCGAGAGTGAGTGGAAACCGTTCAATCCGGGGAGGTAACTGAGGTGGGTTGCGAACAGAAAGGGAGAGCTAGATAGCTGGCTAGCTTCCTCACACTGACCAGGAGTCCGTGTTGAAATATAGCTTGAGCCTCCGTCAGGGTGAAGCCGTCGGCGGCGAGCAGCTTCCGGGCCGGCGAGCTGTAGTGTCTGAAATGTCTGACTGAGGCCGAGAGCACAGAGGAGAGACACACTAAAAATGAGACTGATGGGAAGGATCACTCTGAGACAGACACGTGGCCAGGAAACGAGTTTGACAGGCGAGTTTGAACAGCTTCTCAGTTTGTGTCCGTGTGTTTATGACCAATAGAGGGCGAGGCTGCGTGTGCGTGCACGAGCCTCACGTGTGTTTGTGTGTGTTTAGAAGTCTACAGCCATCACTACACAGCTATGTCCTTGTGTTTATTCATCCATCCATTCATCCATCCATCCCACCCCCTGGGCCTCCACGGCTGCCCGATCAGACAGTCCAGTTCCACGTCTCAAGGGGTGAGGCAGAGAAGGGGGGGGAGGCGGCGTGAGGTCACAACTGATTTGACCCCCTAAAAAAATGCCCCCGAACAATCTGTAACTTTTTGACCCTCGTCTCTGTAATGTTCTTAGCACATGGAGATGGTGACGTTGATGCCCAGGTTGCCGTTCTCGGCGAACAGCTGTGCGATGGACGTGTCGAACACCAGGCAGTCGCTGTTCATGATGGCCGTGGCGATGCCCTCGTGGATGGAGCGCGGCGTCGCCTCCCAGGTCAGCCGGCGCCGGTGCCCGTTCAGCTCCAGCCGGTAGGCGAAGTTCTCGGCCTGCTTGCGAGTCCCGATGAGCTGCACGATGGCGAAGAACTGCTGGTGTCCGTCGTACTTCTCCTGCTTCTCCAGCACCAGCATGAAGTGGAAGCCGAAGCAGGACTGCATCATTACCCAGTCGACGGCGCCCGGCAGGTTGATGTCTGTGGCCAGGAACACGATGTCCTCCCCCTGCACACGGAAACAGGCAGTTATTATAGGGACTCATTCAAGAAAGGCTTTTACAACCACAGCAGACGTCTACTTGTATACTTTAAGGTTTGTATTTTAATTATACATTCAACATTAATGCATTTAAAAAAAAAACAGATGCTACGTCAAAAGTTATGGAATCAGTTTGCACCAGTGTAATCAAACAAAAACAAGAATCTGAGAGAACACTTTCTTGATAATCCATCTCTTTTTCTTTGCATCCCTCAGCTTCTCTCTCACTGATCACACTTTGGCGCTCACTCATCATATCTGGCTGCTGCCTCTGCGGGCCTGACATTTTCGCCTGCATTTGAGACGGGGTGCGCTTCTTATCTTATAGCTGGGGCTCAAGCCAGCGAGAAGTGATGAGTGGCGATGGAGGAGCGTATCTCTTAAATGGAGGGGAAAACATTTGCCTGGGGGAGGAGGCGTCCCCTTAAACAAAGCATGTATCTGTCAGAGCAATCAGGCTTTATTGTGTTATTAATCACCGACAGGACAGCCGTGCTCCAGAGCCAGAACAATACCAGCCGGCTGCTCTGCTCTACATTAAGCATGTTTATGGTGCTCAGCAGCCTGTTCATCTATTAAACATTGTATGTTGCTTGACATCAAGACTAACCATGTTGTGTTGAATTTATTGTCCTGGCTTGTGTTTCTTTAAGCCAGTTACAACCATCTTGGGTGGTGCTAAGCCAAGAACACAGCACAGTCCTGCTACAACATAGTCGACCTGCTTTGGTGGAACATTTGCACACAGGCAGGAGAGCAGTATTAAAATAGCTAATTCACCTAAAGCGCCAAGCGCGCGTTATTGATCTATATTTTGATGAAAACTTTCCATTTTCAGCGTGTCGGCTACTAGCTTGGATGCTGCCGTTTGCTGGATCATAACAGCAACAGCATGGAAAAGTCTGATCAGTAAGAAAGAAGCAAAGAGAATGTAAACAAAGGACGTGTTAGCAAAAATGTTAAGTAGCAAGAAAACAGGAATGAATGCAAGTTAGGAGCTTTACTTTGGAGATTACCTTTTTTTTTTTCCCTCTTTCTGTTGAAGTGACTTATCTTCTTCTTAATTTTGTTTGATGTTTAAAAAAGTACAGTTTGGTTGCACTGGCACAAATCTGTCCTGAGAGTGAAGCTGGACCAGTTTGCTGCGATGTCTAGTGAGTCGCTTATTTAACAGAACAAACATGCAGCAGTTGCCTCTTATAGGACTGAACTTTTGCACAAGTCAGACTATAATTTCACTACAGTGATTGTATTTGTGGCGACGCATTAAAGAAAGAGTCAAAATCGAAGCAGCAGACGATGAGCTACGCTGATGTTTAGCCTCTAATGTGGGTCATCCTGTGCTGCATCCAACGTGATCACATCTTTACTTGGACCTCAAACACCTGCTAACCTCTACATCAGGGGTGTCAAACTTGCCAAATTTGGCCCGCTTTGTAATTATATTTGGCCCGCGAGACAATACTAAATGACTACGAGAGCTGCCCCGGGTATTGTACTGTACAGCGCACTCACCGCTAATACTACAAATCCCATAATGCCCTGTTGTTGTTTTGGCGCGTCAATCAGGACAGGACCCAGAAACTCCCTCTCCTCTGTGACAGTAGACATAGCGACTTCACACTACAACTGTCACTGTGCCATTGATGTGTTTTTTTATTTCTAATTTGATTTTGCATGTCTCCACTATTAAGTTATATATAATGTATGGTAATAAGCGTTTCTTGTTCCATATTCAATGTTAAAGCAAAATTTGTTGGCCCGCGACTTTGTTCAGGTTTTAAATTTTGGCCCACTGTGTTTTTGAGATTGACACCCCTGCTCTACATCCTGAAAACTCCACACTTGTATTTTGTAGTATTAAACTCTTATTCTCTCTGCTCCAGCTTAGATAACAGTCATTGTCAGAGCTGTGTTCATTTTACAGTCAAATCTCCTCCAGACTCTAAGAAGAGATTTTCACAGGCTCCCTTTAAGTCGCTGACATAAAAATCAGTGCAGTGACTCTTCTGTTTAAAATCACGGTCACCCCGATGTTCTCTCATTCTCGGCACAGAGCACCAGTTTAAAATTAAGGAAAGCAGACCATAATGGCCTATTTGAACTAAATGAGAAGCGGTTTGTCTTGTGATCCAGCAGAGGGCGCTCTTAAGATTCGCCCTCAGCGTGGTGGGGTGGGGTGTGCTGTATCGATTGGTCTGACCAAATGACATGCCAGTTTAAATTCAAGTTGTTCTGTTTCTAGTGACTCTAAATGTGATCGCCTCATTCTCACTTCTGAAGATGTCACACGTGTACATGAAGAGTGCTTTGTGAGTCTGACCTGCAGCGTGGTGATGGACTTGTGCTGGTGCATCAGGTGAGGCATGACAGCGTCCAGGGAGCCCTGCCACTTGCAGGAGGCGCCGGGGCAGGGGCAGGAGTACGGCCGAAACTCACACAGCTCTTCGTGCTCGGTCTTGTCAGTGTGAGGCAGGGTGACTTCACAGCCCGACGAGGCGTACTTGCAGGGGAAGAGGACCGAGTTAGCCACCTTCTCCATGGCCAGGTTCCTGATGGAGCCCAGGGGACCTCGGCAGGTGGGGCAGCAGGTGAGCTTGGGCCGGCAGTTGGAGCATACCTGGGACGAATAATGCCAGTTAGTGTTTTTTGTTTTTTTTTTACCCTGGAATATTATCTGCACCCTATCGGAGTTAGAATCTCTTTTTCATTTTCAGTAATCTCATTGGTTAATATTTATGGGAGCTGGCAGAGCTCAGCGCAGGAAATACACATTCCTCAGTATATTACCGAGCACATTTCCAAAGTACAACTGACAGCTTGGCCTTTACCTTGAACATTTTCCTCTGAGTTACAGTCTGGGTCAAACATCAAGCCGGTATCGGACCATTAATTTGGCAGCTGTAGTGAGCTGTGTCATGAACACAATTATACTTCTGTAGCACTGTTAAGATCTGCAGTTATAAGTGAAGACAAGTTCTAACAAAGTTATCCTGCTCATTAAAGAGCAAATCCACATGATTATTCAGTTGTACTGTGGACTGATGTATTGAGCAATCGCCTAAATTTGCACCATCAACACTGCTGAAGGAAGAGGCTGAGAGAATGTTGTCCATGGTGAAATAAATAACATCTGATGAAGACACAGGAGTGTTGAAACCTGAGTCTGTTTTCACAATAAAAGCCTGTGAATTAAGCTTGCCTTTTTTTTTTTCCTTGAGCGGAGAAGCACGTTTTCAGCTTTACTTTGCTGGAAGAGTCAAAGAACCCCATACCTCTTAAGATTATTATTAACAATGCTATTCAGAATGAGCATCTTCCTCTTTGCTAACTCCACTGAAACAACAGTGATCACGTTAAAAGCCTGCGCTAACCCCATGTAACGTATGTGGACTGTTGGCCAAGCAGCTTCCACTAGATCAATGGAAGCAGCTACACCAGGCACGAGGGCAGTGTGTAAGTGTATGTTAATCAGATCAGCTCTGCGAACGTAAAAATGGACCAACCTTCTATTTATATTTTTTACGTGCGGTGTGAATGGCCCGTTTTGCGCAGAAATCGCTCTGCATCTTAAAATGTTACGACTTCTACTACAGGAAATGACCACCTTGTATCAGACAGAGCTTCTACTTTGGGGTCTTGATCACTGGGGCTGTTCTCTGGCATTTGTTTTCGCCGGTTGCTTAGTAACGTCATCCTGTGAATAGCCCACTGTAGTCTGCAGGTGTTAGCTTACAGATATTACACAAACTTGGAAATTTGTAAGGTTGTGCTGAGTGCAGAAACACAAGACACAACAACCCCAAAACGAACGCTCACCGTCTTGCCTTGCCTGTGACTCATGACAATATGTGAGCTGCAGGTGTAGCCAGTGCAGACAAGTCCACATACATTACGTGCTCGTGGTAGCAAAAGCATCAACTCACTGATCGTTCTAGCAACAAAACTGGTGCACAAGTTCTTGCTGAGCTTTAACAGCAAACTGCGACTGGTTGTTGCATTGCACACACACAGCATTGGGTACGTACCAGGTGTCCGGACTGGCACTGCAGGATGGGGGGTAGGACATAGTCGAAGCAGACAGGACACTCGAACAGGCTGGCCAGGTCGCTGTTGGAGGCTGTGGTGCCTGACAGGGTGGGCACGCGCTGAGAGGGGGGGCACTTGGAGGTTCCTGTGGGCAGCGCGGTGGCAGTCTGGCGACTCATTTCTGGTAAAGAGAGAGAGGATGAAGAGGAGGAGGAGGGTCGTGATAAAGTTTCCAGCATCATCATCATGATATTGTACTGTAGCACAATAAAAAAGGTTTTCAGATCAAAGAGAAGCATGGCTGACTGTCTGGACCTCTCTTTATAGCACCTCTTTCTTACTCACTGCACATCTATGAGTCACAGCAATTCACGAAAGAGAGACTGAAAGTGCGGTGAACACTGACTAAGCGCATCCAGTCGACCTAATGGACATAAAATCTTGTATTGTCCCATCAAAAGTATTTCTGGTGTCAAATAATAATTACGAAGCAGTTTAAATTCTCTGAGGCTATCAGGAGAGCAAGCTGTCACCATCAGACGAGTCCATGACGGCGCCTCAGTTGGCCTGTTGATGAACAAATCTGCCAGAAATTCGACGTCTCCTCTTTTTTTTTTTTTTCATATGTCAGTCGCACTATTCAGCTTATGTTGCTATACGCTGCTGAGCTAATCTGTTATCCCATCTGTGACACTCACCATTGTCTAAAGCTGTCGCAGCTATAGAATGCCAAGCAGAGCAACAATCCCCTGTGCAGCACGCCTGCAATACACTTCATGTTTAATCACCGAGAATCAACATCTAACTGCGAAATATTCCGCACGACGTTCACTGATCTACGAAGTACGCATTTACCAAACAGCTTTACTTCTCTAGCGATACAATCATGATGGTTATCTACTTGCATAAATCTGTAAAATTTGTCAGCCAACCACACTTCCCACTCGGTATGGCTGATATAGGCGGTGTAATAGCTGCAATTTGTGCTTCATAAGACTGTCATATTTGGATGTACAGACTCATTAGGGATAATATACCATCTCTCCGTGGCTGGTGAGCAATAAGCAAAACGGAAAACTTGCAGTGCATTCGCCTTTAAAACGAAGAATGAGCCGAGCACACGTCAGTGTTCTCTCCGTCACAGCCCACTATGTATCTACTATTGTCTCAGCAACAAGTCAGAGCTGCACAGATTTTCTCCGTCACATATAAAAAGAACAACCAGACAGTAAAGTGAACTCAGATGTGGTGTGTGTGTGTGTGTAGCTGCTGTTTCCTATCGTGCTGTGTAGTTGCCTTGGTAACAGGTTTGTGGTTAAATATGGGATGGCCTGTGGAGCAGAGAAAAGAAGAGGGTAGAGCAGAGGCAAGTAAATAGGATGGGCAGAAGAATAGTTTTGTGGAGAGGAAGTGGGGCAGGAATAGATAGAGTCATTGGAGATGAAAGGAGAGAAGGAAGAAAAGGAAAGGAGAGGTGGAGGAAAGCAGGAGTGACACAGCAAAGTTTGGAATCAAGCAGGACATAGAGGTGGAGGTAAGAATCTGTGTGACCTAAAAAAAAAAAAAAAGAAGCTTCAAATTGAACAGGACAAGGGAAGGAGCAATAAAAATGGATGCAGCAAGGTGGAAATAAAGCAGTAGGGAAGGACAGCAGGGGCAAGAAAGATGTTTCTGAGGTCCTTTGAGGGCAGTACAGGAGTTTGGGTGGAATGCCTGCGTTGCCACCTACTGCGCTACCTGGCATAGTTCATCCTTTTTATAGCCCTGCCCACAGACAGAGGCAGCACAGGGAGACCCAGAACAGAGAGGAGAAAATGTGAGGAGGAGAGAGGGTAGTCATGTGTGGGAGGCAAAGGCAAGAGAAGAGAGTCAGGTGGTGAGACAGCACAGCAATATGTAGACAGACAATACAACAGCTGGGAAATTAACACCCACCAGCAAAACGCTGACCAAGCTTTAGTCATGGCTGCTCAATTTGACGAACCTAGCAGCAAATTGAATCATTTAGATAGGTAAGTCCGTCATAGGGGGTATTCTGACTTCTTCCTTGACAACTTTCCTCTTTTCATAAGTGAATTATGTTGTTTATAATTAGGCACCATTTGGGTCCTTCTCATTATTTTGCTTTCTCTTTTTAAACTTTTTTTTTTAATGGTGATTCAAAGACAACAAATAACATCCAGAATTAAAAATAAAAACCTTTAGAGAGATAAAGCCAATAAAACTGTAGTTTTGAACAAAGCAATAACTAGTTGTAATGCTCCTACAAAAGGAACTCTTTTTAGCTTTTTCAGATTTGTGATTCCCTGTTGACAGTTCACACCACTCCCAGATGATTTAGAGCAACTCAGTGAATACCAAATGTGATGCTTTTATCTACATCATCATTACTTGCATAAGCATCCCTCTTACTTCTAGCTTAGTAGCTGGCAGCGCTGCCAGCAGGCGGGCCTGCGAGGGTAAAGCTTCTCTGCATGCGCACATGCACATCCATGCCAACTGCAGAGGTAAAAACTGGATCCAGTCGGAGGCAGTATTAGCTAGCTGTCCTTACGCCTGCCTGCTTGTAAACACATCTGCTCTGATGGACAAACTGCCTTAGCAGCTATTAATAGAACTTCTTAGCGGGCTAGCATGCTAGCTGCAGCACTAAGAGCAGTGGGACTGAATTAGCTCAGGACATTCAGCTAGGCCAAGGCCAGGGTCACCGTCAGCTAACATGCAAGATTGAAGTAGTCAGCACCGGGTCGCTTCAGTAACTTAGCTAATGCATCCGGGAGACAAAGCTGTGATCACAATTGGAGAGAGTCTCATTGGCTGTAGATAGGCAGCACGAGACATTATGCAGCTTGTGTTTTATAAATTCATGGTATTCCACATAAAATGGATTTAAATAGATTATATTTTAAGTATGTATAGAGACAGGAAACAGTGCTTTTGATTAGTTGATTCACTCACTTTGAAAGGCACAAACGTGTCTCTGTATGAATATGGACTGAATTTTGTGCACATCTGACGAGAGACATAAAAACTACTAATGTGTCGTGTTCTGCTGTTATCTTGTAGGGTTATTTTCTGATTGAGTTCACACTAATAAAGCAAACACAAACCAAATGAACACAACCAAGTGCTTCAGTAAAAGGCAACTGAATGTTTTGTTCTTAAAAATAATGAAAGAAGTTCAGCTGCCTTCTACTGAAGCACTTTGGATGACTGAGAATCTACACGGACATAATACAACTACCCAGTGAATGCACTTAAATGTGCCCGTGTGTTTAGAGAAAATAGAAAATACAGACTCATCAACTTATTATTTTGTAAGAGTGGAGGCCAACTACCGGCTGTGTGTGCCTGTGAGAGGATGTTTGTATACTCTGGGTGTGGCTGATTGGTACCTCTGTCACACACTGGAGAGCAGTACCATCTTACTGACGAATACTGACTGCATGACTGAATAGAACTAATGTATGGCTAAACATACTTTACTGAAATAGAGCAACACTGGACCTCAACGGGGAGGCCAGAGAGAGGGGGGCAGGACTCATAGTCTCACAGCTGACAACCAGAGTTTCCAGTATAAGCACATAAATGTATTGTTTTAAGGTTGCAGTGACTTAGGGGTAATGTTATATAGTCAACTTAGGATTTAAAGTCTGCCAGGGAACATCCGTCACTGCTGTTCACTGGTGCACAGAAATGTTTAGAAAAAAAAGCAGCTCAGTTGTAAATGATGTGATTATCTCATTGCTTCTGATTGGCTGAGCCATGTGGGATTTTGGCACAAAAACGCCACCATAATGGCAGGGCGGCCGTGGGAGAACGGCTATAAGCGCACGGCAAAGTGAAGTTTATGTACTTCAAGAAATGCGTGTTGAATTATTTTCTTTAGCAGCTCAGAGGCTCGTGATTCTCCTGATAAAAATCTGATCTTGCCTCGTGAACTGCTACAAAAAGCTAGTTGGCAGCACGTAAGGCCATAACAAGCTGCAACATGCCCAGCTAAAAGAGTCTGTGAGGGGGGGGATAAACATAGCATCACTTGTTCAGTTGGCACATGGGAGGCCAAGAAGGTGACACTGCCAAGATAAAGGCAAAATATAGACAGGCAGGGCCCAGCAGCCTTTTGTTGTTAGCAGGTGGCTTAGAAATGGCTTTTATAGTCTGAATTTACAGTTTACAAAGCTTTTGGGTTTTACTTTTTACAATGTGGATACTTCAGACTGCTAGCAGCTTATTAGGAATGATTTATCCCAGAGAGGCTTTACTACAAAATTACAGCTTTAGCAAAACGGGTACGCTCAAGGTGCGAGAAAGAAAACATGGGCACAGAAGGGCCGAGGAGTCACAGAGTGAGTCAGCTCGCCAGATAGAGAGGGCAATGAGCACAGACTGCTCCATGTCAAGGGGGGCGGAGGGAAGAATGGCAAAAAGAAGAGCAGACGGAAAACAATAACTGAGCACGGCGTCCTTGGTGTTTAAGAGGAGCAGCGCAAGGGGAAAGAATACTGATTTTCTGCTTAGAAGACTGCTTATCGCACAGTACTGCACGCATGTTTTAACAAAAGGCAAAATGTAAGGGGAACACAGGACAGACACGTCACCCTGCACAAGAAAAATTGTGTTAGGAGCTGTCCAAGTGAAGCAAATTAAGAGCACCAAACAGGAAGCAACTCATCCTACAGCTCAGAGGACAAAAAGGAGATCAAGAGAGACATGGAGGAAAACACTGCTATTAATGAGCTGGGAAAGAAATGAAGAGGGCAGAAAAGGACACCGGCGGAAACAAATACCCACCTTCGTCCATAAGATTTCCAAATAAGGCTGTCGTCTTCTCTTGAAATGTGGGGACCTCTGAAAAGAGAGAAAAAAAAATAAGATAAAGGTAAATAAACAGGACTCCGTGGTACACATACATCTTCCTTCAGTGAGCAGAGTGAAGCCGGGCTCTGTTTAATAACACAGCTCAATTCAGGCTGCATATGAATTTGATCTGATTTTCATAACTACAGTCTAGGTTTTGAGGCTCCATCTCCATTGTGCCAGCAGACTAGATGAGATCAGGAAGGGGCACTGCCCATCTTGTGCACTTCCATAAACCTAGCAATGCTCATTCAAGGCATTTAAGCCACTTACTGTTCCGCTAATGCAACGTACATTAGCATGAGACTTGCACACTCATTGATTCATACTGTACTGTCTGTTGGCGCCACGCTGTTTTTTTTCCAGCACAGTTAATTCATATTTAATAAACACAAAAGAGCGAGCCCCCTTAGGATAAGACTCAGCAGTCTACCTGCATCTCAAGAATAAGTGGGACCCCTATGAGGACAGCAAGTTCACAATCTGGACAGAAAAGCACAGATGGCAGATGAGAGGACTAAAGGAAGCCAACGATGCTTTACTGGCATGACCATCTTTATCTTTTATGTTATTGACTGAGTTTGTTATTCTTTGGGTTTACTTTTCCATTCTGCTGGTGTAACACAAGAATTCCCTAATTTGGGATCTGCCTCTTAACAGGGGAGGTAGCCTACGGCATTAGGTGTCAGCCACAAACAATGCAGTCCTGACATCTCTCCCCAGGCCACCATTCACACCTTGATTCATGCGAGTCTCGGGTCGTCAGTTAGCCCTGATGGTGTGAGTTTCAGGTGAGTAACAGCCTACAGGTGGCCTTAAATACCTGGAACCGCCCTCCAGTCAGTGAGCAAGGGGGAAGCCCCTTACATAAGAGATGTCTTCAAAAACCAAAAAGCCGTCCAGTTGCCATCCACTTAAGCTGCATGCATGTGTCAAAGCCTATGATATCCAATCACAAACTTGCAAAATGATTCTAAACCAGCTACTCATCAAGGTGACTGCAAGGCTGAACATCTGGACAGTACTTCTTAGATGTGCACAAATGTACATTTTTACACACAGCTGCCATTATCAGAAGAAAATTTCCATCTGTTCCTAATATACCAAGATGCAATTTTAAATAGAAATGTCAATTTGCAGTGTTTTAGCACACTTTCAAGCTGGCAGTCATCACTTCTTCAGCTACTGCATCTGTACCTGTAGCAGAGAAGCTGTTAAATGATCCCTACCGAAACAAACATAAACAGAGGCACTGAAACCCACAACAAACACCCCTGCCTCTACACCTGAAACGCAAACTTGGAATGTCCCCACAGATCACTTCTGAAGTAATAAAGACTTGAAAGAACCAAAGCATAGTGCACAATGAATGCACCGTCTACAGTGTAAAAATCAATGTTTCAAGTTTTGGAAATGAGCAGTAATAAATCCCATCCAAAAATGTCAATATGTGTAATATACCAACAGAAAAAGACCACTAGTTTGCTCTCTCCAGTGGCAAAACACAACAAGGAAACCAAAGATAGTGGGCAAACGTTTATTTTCTAAACAGTGTGTACCTGCATGTCTTAACTCAACTGGAAAGTCTGTTTATGAAGCACTGACTTCCCATCAGTAGCTAAGATTCAAACATGAGGTCAGTGGCTGCAAAGCACAAAAATAGTAGAATCAGGTGACCGAAATGTAGCTTTGCTTTTCTTCTGTGGTATCTGTAATCATGAATCTATAAGTGTTGAAAAGTTTATACACGGTTTGTCATTTAATCATGTGTAACACAGCATTTTGAGTTTTCTCACTGGTCACAATTGAAAATATGAGGCTGTGACTGTAAACAAACCTGCCAGGTTATTAAAACTTCATGTTGTCATTGTCTAGACCTGGTCCTTGTCTTGCCTTGGCAAACGAACATCAGCATCGAAACCGGAGAACTGCCTCGCTCTGATTGTTGTCCCTGATTACCGAGTGCAAATAAGTGCAGCCGCTGTTGGGCTAATGGAACAACACACATTAAGGCGTGCGGGGAAAGTGAGATCGATTTTGATGCATCTACATTTCTGCTTGTTGAACACTAACAGGGATCCCATTCTCATCAAATCTAAAACATTTCAAAATAAAGAATTTGATTCTTCTCGCTGTGCAAATTAGGTTTTTTTTTTGTCTTTGGCAGCAGAGACAGATCTCCAGTGAGAAAAGTTTATGAGAAATCTGAGTTCAGTGTTTCTGAGCAAAAGTTAGGGAGGCGTTCTATCCCGAAAAACAGCATTTACGGCAAGTCACCAAAGCTAGCCTGCAGCATGTGCCAACTTGCCTTAGACAAAACATAAACACATGCATTCACACGCTACAACAACACTACACACACATGACTTCAGCTGGACAAAGACGGGGAAAATATAGCAAAAAAAAGCAAATATTAAGAGATGCAGAGAGACAGCTAATTGTACACCGAATACAGGAAAAGCTGAAGTATACAAAAAGGGAAAGAAACAAGTCTGGAGGCAAACAGCTGGGGGGCAAAGATAAAGGCACAGAGAAGAGGATATGGAAGAAGGCACGAGACAGACAGGAGATAGATGACGAGAGCGCGAGTAGAGGGGGAGGCAGAAAACCAGCCGGGCTTCAACACAAATGTGCCATTCTTTGTTCTCAACTCATAGCCCACTCTTTTCCTCCGTCACACACACATCGCACAGTTTTCATACACACCATGCAGTGTAATTCACAATACACGCAGGCAACACATGCTCAAAGCGTCTTCTGTGCTCACCCACACACAAGCTATTGAAGGCATATTCTGTCACAACATACAGAACGCTCACTTTCTGCAAGCCAAACTCTGTGCACACAAACTATTAATTTATCAACCTGACACAAACAAAGCTGCAGTTAGACCGAGTGCAGAAATGTACGTTTTACAACAGCTACAAGGCCAGTAGCAGAAAACACACTGAGACTGATGAGCTGATGAGCAAATGTTTCCAGAAATCAATGTGCTTTCATGTGCATTACCACTGTGAAGCGCATTCACCTTTAGTCCTGTGCACGTTCCTTGTGGCTACACATGAGAAGAGTCTGAACAAGTAGTTCCAGGGTGGAGCTTGCAGTGCTACGCTAGCCGGCTTCGATTTCACTTGGACCACAGACATAGAGGTTGAGCATTTATGCAGCCCCTCTGTGCCATATTTTTCTGGCCTTTTCCATGGAAACCACACAGGGTTGCTGCTGCCCTAAACACACCACAAAACAGAGGATCATATTTCTTCCTCCTGCTCCCCCATTTAGGAAGCATGCGCTCATGAGGGTCCGGGGCGAGCTGTAATGAAAGAATGAGGGCTGTGTCCAGGCAAGGGCAAACAAATCCTTAATAGCTGGAAAAATAGCTGCCCACAAGGGAATGGGAATCCGCAGTATCTGGAATCCAAAAAAAACTACAAAATGTCACATGAGAAATCCCAAAGTCCCTCAATCGCTGGAAACGACAAGCAAAACAGTCACTGACATCCTTTAAGTGAAGCCGGTATCCATCAAACCTGCCAAACTGAATGCCAAACTAAAAAAAAAGGAAGAGCGACCAGGTGACTGGACGATTATGCAGCAGCACAAAGAAACGGAAATGCTCACAGATTTGCTTTGGGTTGCACTGACAGCCTTGAAAATGTAGTCAACAGTCTGTAAGCAGTCTGTCTGTGTGTGGTCAGCCTGCCACTCCCTCGCTTTGCCTAATCAGCCACTAGCAACAGAAGGCAACATGAGGCAGTTTAGCCAACTCACTGTAGATTCTGTCCAACCCTGGGTAATTATCCTTTCGCGAGTTCCACCTCTGTTCCTCCTGGTGCCAAATTTTCAGGAACTGTTTGGCACTGCACCACTGCAGCTTTTTAACAGGTATATACTCTCTTTGAAAAACAGTCACCAAAATTGCAGGTTTGAAGTTAGATTCCCACATCCAGAAAAGAGTTGATTTCAATGAAAAACAAATCCTGTACGGTGAACACAAGTCACAAGAAGAATAATCCTTTACTGATAGGAAAACAAAGCCCCACTCTCTGGATTTCCTGAGAGGAGAAAGCTCGTGCGAGGGAAGGAAAGTCCCAAATAAAGTCTCTCGCTCCCCGACTTTTCCCCTCCTCTGCTTTTATTCCGGCGACGTTCCCTCTGTCCCCTGGAGTGTGGTAGGTGTCACTGCTGCTGGGTGTGTTTGTGCAAAAGACAGAGGGCTAAGCTAAGCCGGCATCCAATGTCAGTCCAAACAGAGCATGCTCACTCACACCCTTCTCTATTCTCTCTTGACGACTCCCTACCCAAACACATAACCCTTTCTCCTCTGCTGCACAGACATCCTCTCTCTCTCTCCCTCTCACAGAGACTTCAACTTGGTTCTTACAAATTTTATTTACCCTCCTACACTTTTTGTTTCATGTCTCCATTTTCCTCTTTGCGCCTGTACACTTTCCTGCATGGTTTCTCTGTCTCAAGCCTGCATATTTTGCCCTTTTTCTCCTGGATGGACATTCTCTCTCTCCCTCTCTTTCTCCCACTGGTGCGTCTCTCTCTCTCTGCCCCCTCCCTCTGCCTGGCTCTGTGGTTGTGCAAGTCTCAGATTTCAGCCTTGTCTGGCTGCAGGCTGTACCACCAGCTGCCCTCATTGACACCATACCTCACTTTCTCACTGCCTTTTCTTTTCATTCCGTCCTCCTATTGACTTCCTTTTGCCGTAGAGTAATCGGGCCTATGTATAAAATTCAATACCCTCGCATCAAATAAGAAGAAAGAAACTGTTATAACTTGAGGAGTTTGGTGTGTTCTTCAAGCCTTTGCCTAATTACAGATTTGCCAAAATCAAAACAACGAAGCGTTTCTCAGATCAATGATTTGAGCTTTTTACTTTTTTTAGAACCATTCTCTTTTACACAGGCTCATTTTTGCTGCACACATACACAAACTCTGGTACACTATCTCCCGCCAACACACACAAAAAACACACACACACAAGGCGGAGGCAAGCAGGAAAAGGAGCCCAAGTAAAAAACCAAAATATCACTGTGAGCCAGGATCTGTCTGTCAGCGGGAGAGAAAGTGATAGCTAGATTAGTGCACAAAGAAAGGGAGACGCTGGCTCTGTTCACATGAGGCACTGAAAGGCATCTTGGGTGATTCAATCCCATAAGGACAGGTCTAAACACAGATGCAGCTGCCATACATGTGTATAAAGCATGTGCTGCAAACTGAAAGTACTGCATAAGACCGAAGATCTGTGCAAGCCTAAAAGAGCCCGACTGATATATGTGTTACCATGAAAACTTTCTTTTACAAAACATAACACGGAGAGAGATGCTTGGGGTCATTTATAAACATGTCATCACACAGCTGTGAGACTCTGACTCCATTGTTTCCAATAGTCTCAGCCTTGTGTTGGGCAGTTTGTGAAACACATTACTGGAGAGTTAATAAACAAAGACTACATCATTATACTTTATTAATATCAGAATTTTTGGCACTCTAAAAATAAGTATTGGTCCCAGAAATCCAGTATCGATCAGGCTCTAATGACTAATTTGAAGTGTAATATGACAGACTTTATTAACACAATTTAATGAACAGCAAATCAGAAGATCTCTAGTTGTACATTACACTATTTTAATTAAGAGTTCCTCTCAGTTTTTTAAAATAAATTTACTTTGAATTATTTTATCTACAATTAATTGAAAAATAATCACAAAAGAGAGGAAAAAAAATCAGTTTTTCTGATCGGCATACTGGAGAAACTATCAGTACTGCATGAAAAATGATAATTATCACAATAGAAATTAATTCTGTTTGTTTACCAACTGATTAACTGACTAATTGTTTTTATCCCTGAGTCACCCAGTATTTTTAACTCTTGCTGAGATTGCCAGCCACCGACAGCACAGCTCATCTGGAACAGGCAATCAAAACACCATTTATTTGGTAAATAAACTGCTCCTGGATTCTAGCGTGACTGTGATTGAGACAGGCGTACTGCTGTACTCCCTCTTCACCGTCGTTACACCACATCTGCTCGCATTATCGCCAGACAATATAAATATAAAGCAGTCAGAAATTCAGCAGCAGAAAAAAAAAAAGAAAAAAAAATGGGCACAAAGAGAGCCCGCTGGGACACACATGCACCCTGTGAGCTATAAAACAGCACTAGTGACACTCGCCAATGCCCAGTGTGTTATTAAAGGGGCAGGGCAGCAGATACAACAATGAGCCATCTGGAATAGGCAGCAGTTCATCACCAGCAACCCAAACACTTCATCACCTACAGCCAGGGGTTTCTACAAAGGAGAAGATGGAGAGAGCGAGGGGAGGAGACGGACTATTTAAATCGTAAACATGCTTAGCAATGCAGATTCCTGGATTTTGTCATGCCAATAAAGCACCACTGAAGTGAAATTAAGTCAGAGAAACAACAAGACCAGCGAGCTGGAGATGTAAAAAGGCGAGGAGGTTGTAAGACAGGGTTGGGTTGAGTCAAGCACAAGCCCACATTTCCATATGAAATGCTGCTGCCCTGCTGTCTTCTCCTTTGAAAGTCTGACCTGTTCTGCTGCCATGTAAGCAGCTGAAACAAGACCAAGAGAGACATGCTTTGATTACTTCATTTGAGGGAAAAAAAAAACGTATATCACGTGACGTGTCAAAGATGTGACATTTATAAATGCTCTAATAGATCTAATTATCACAACACATGAGATGTCTTTGGTCTCAGCTGGCTCACCATCACCGAGCACATCCTGAAGCTAATTGTGAGGTAAAATGAACAATAAATCTGTTTCCAGCTTCAAGCCTCCTGTGCCCATTGTTGATGAAGACAGAACCCTTCATTCTAAGTCAGCAGAGATGGATGTTAAGTCCATTTAAAGTCAGCGACCCACAGATATTACTGTCCCCACAAACGGCTGTGTAAATGATGTCTTCAGGGTGAAGTATGAAGGAGAGCACAAGAGCAACACAGCAGGGTGAAATGCATCGCTCAGTGTGCCTTTTTTTTTTTTTTTTTGGCAAATTTAGTCAATCTCAAGCAGACTGGACCAACACAAAACCAGAGATTACAGCCTGATCCCGTTAGCCAGCCCAGGGTTTTTTACTTCTTACTGAACATCTGTGCCCCAAGAATAAGTAAAATGTTCAAAAAGAGACACATCAGACTACTTTGTACTGTAAAGCCTTAGTGAATGATCCAATGGAAGTTTTGAATGTACAATTCAGGAGCCTATTCACTTTTAATGAGAGGCTCTCCCATCTGGCTCGGAGCTCGGTGAGGTAACGGGGGAAACCACTATGACGAACCCGGCAAGCAGTACGGACACGTTCTGGACTCGGGTGTGTTTTGGTCCATTTAAGCGCAGGTGCAGGTGCCATTTAGTCCATTTTGGTTTAAGGCAGATAAGAGAATCAGGTCCTGTAAGCCTGGTGTTACATTTAAGAGTTAGTAAGAGCTCCGAGTCTGAGAGAAAGATCAAGTATAAAATCGTCCTTGATTCTTAATACAAATCTTCAGCAGAGTAGCTCCGCTTACTGACACAGTGAAGCCTCGACAAACCAAATGAAGAAACTGTTCCCTGCTGCCCTTCTAACTCATGATGCAGTTTTGCACCTACTCCAAACTCACTGAACTATACCGTTACATTTTTTCTTTTTGATGAACGAAGTTGTTTGATCACGACAGAGACATTTTGTTAGCTATGAGTGCTAATATCAATGACAGTTGATATTAGTGTGTATCAGTCAGCGCAGGCCTCAAACTAAATCCTTGAATGAAACAAAGCCAACAACACAAGAACATCTTATTTAGAAGCTAATGTTGTCGTTTCTTTTACTCATGCAGTAACCTCTTTTCCACAGCAGGAAAAACAACTGAGGAACAATGCAGCTTAGCAGCTTGTTACCATGGAGAAGCCACACAGAACAGGGATATCAGGGCAGAGGCAAAACCAACTCAGAACACACACACACAAAGCTGCACACCTTGTCTATTTAACACAGAGAAATAGACATGCATCATGCGTACACATCCGCACACGCAGACACACGCACACACAAAGGGAGTGATAAAACAAGCAGGGAGTCCCTCTGGCATTAGTAACAGATCTAGAATTACCTCACTGTTAAAGAGCCAATGAGTCACTTCTGTCTCTCGGTTTGTATCGCACACATGCGTACACACATGCTCATCCACACACACCTCATGCACCGGGCTGGATGGGAACAGCTGTCATTCTTGTGAGGACGAGCTGTGCTCTGTTCGCTGAACATGTGCTGCTGATGTTGTGCCAGGACAGTAAAAAATGCACACGGTGACAAGCCAAGTCGCAGATGCAGGTACCACAGAGACACACTGAACATCTCGTCCACCTCTTGATGCAATAAATTAGCAAACTGTCAGAAATAATTCACAAAAATCATCGTTATCTATTGAGCTATTAGGTCCAATATTTTAATATTTGTTTTTACCACCTGTGCAGCCAAACTCATCGTAGATTCAGTCGACTGAAGGCAAGACAACCCATCCTGGTGTCCCATGAAAACGTCACATAAAACATGTCCAGTGAAGACAATGTCCCGTCTTGTGCCATGTGACACCATGCATGCGCAAGCACACGGGTGGTCAGGTGACAGCAGAAGCAGCACCAGAAGCAGAGAGACCGGCTCAGGTGAACCACGTGAAATTCAAACGCAAGAGTCACCCAGGGTTTCTGGATACTGTTTAGAACGTGACGTTGAGGAAGCACATCTGCAAACGTCCCCCAGCACAAATTCTCTGGTGAAAATGCATCAAAGCAAAAACTTAAATACATGTGTACAATTTAAATGTGCAAATATAAGCAATGACAGAGAATATAGCTGGTTTCTCTTCAAGGTTTACATGAAACTGTGGTCTCAGGACAAACTGAATGTGTCGTGATGGGAGCCAAGCTGTCCCAACTGTGCATTTCTAAATAAATAAACACTAAAACAGTAATATAAGCATACCGAAAGTACCTTCAAGGCCTTTTGGAGGATACCCTACACCTGGATAACTTGCCTCAATTTCTTCTGTATGATGGAGAGATAACAGGGTCAAAAAAGGTGAAAACTCTCAGGGGTCATGCAGCAGATGTCTTAAACTATCAGCGTCAGCCACTACAATCTCTACTGTCAGCGCACATATGTGGTTACATCATCCTCACTGCAGACCTGCACAATATAAATAAATCAGCCATTAAACACTGTACCTACAGACAGCTGGTAGAAATAACCACTGAGGAGAAAATGAAAACACAGAGTGGACGGCAGTTTCTAACCTTTAACAGTTCACAGAAAGGCCACATACCAACAAAAGCAGCT